AAAAGTAGCAGTATGTGCTACTGAAGCAGTTTTGCAGCCGTCGTAGAACATTGAATGGTGTGAGAATTTTATTCTTTGAGACAGTTTCAGAACATCTTGGAAACATTCCACTAAGGGGTGTGTGAAGAGACTTCAGATCAGACAAAATTACCTGAAACATGCCTCAAATCTACTATGGCGGATTGGTATAATGCATAATTTATGCATTTCTCTGAACTTTCGTGCCCGTTATCGCATATAGGCATACCAACCATGGGCAAATTGTGGACAAACCGTAGTTCCACCACGAGGATGGAGGGACGGTGGGCTAACAGTGGGCGAAAGGTGGGTAAATGGAGGTTTCACCGTGGAATGGATGAGTTTGGAGGGCGCACTGCAGAGAAATGGTGGTCCCACCGTGAAATCAGCAACAGTGGTAGGCTAAAGGTTGGAGAAGTGGGAATGGATGCCATGCTGGGGGAATAACCGGGGGATAACGGTGGAACCATTGTCCACTGGAAGTCCCATTGGGAAAAAGTTGGGAATCTAATTGACGCTGTTTGAGCAACTCGTCCGAATTCTTTATCTTCGCTGCGGGCCAAGTGCACAAGCTTTGGAGGTGTGGGGGGATTGAACCCCAGACCATTTGCACTCGAGGCGAGCGATCTACCTCTGAGCCATACCCGAAATCGTGAACTTTGCACATGAGACATTCTCGACAGATTTTTTCTCAGAGCTATAATAAGCTAAAATGAACTCCAAGGAAATGCCACACTTTTATCACAATTATCGATCTTCAATCGGTTAGATATCGTTTCAAAGAACTACTATAGTACTTTCTTCACATGTCGTCTGCTTCGCTCACTTCTGATCTTTTTTTTCAAGTAGTGCCGTCGCACTAAGTTCCATTGACGCGTACTCGTTGTGACATCAACGTGACGCGGATCAGTTCATTTCCCTTCTATGCTTACCCTTTCTCACCAATAATCGTTGTAGCTCGCTACGCCTTATCTATACTTTTCTCGCATTTTATTTCCCGAAGCATCGATGAAAATTCACGTGAACCTCATTGCCTTAGTGTTCGACCACCATGTAATTTTCTCTAAAACCGGAATTGCTAATCGCATTTTCTCCCTACTCCATTTCAGCCACTCAGCAAAGGTTCTTCACCTGGTTCTTTGTTAACCACATACTTTACAGCGTCCTTTTTTTTGATGAACTTCCGTGCACTCGTTGCCACCACCCCATTTATGGTAGTTCGTATGATTTTCGGGGAGGAGTCCATGCTAGTCATTTCTCC